TAACTCCTGAACTACCAGGAGGAAAGCCGGCTGGGTTGCCGTGAGGTGGTTACGGCCCAGTCCACCACTCGCAGCAGTGGGCTCGGGGGGGTGTGACTGTTACATAAAAGGCGCCTTTTATGTAACAGTCACACCCCCCCGAGCCCACTGTTGCGAGTGGTGGACTGGGCCGTGCCACCTCACGGCAACCACCAGCCGGCTTTCCCCATGGTAGTTCATGGGTTATTCCCCGCACCCACTGCGCTAAGGGAGCCTTCCCAGGTTCGATCCTCCAACCTCTCCTACATAGCGAAGTTGAGGCTGAACCTGGTACCATTGAGTCAACTTGACTCAATGGTACCAGGTTCAGCCTCAACTTCGCTATGTAGGAGAGGTTGGAGGATCAAACCTGGGAAGGCTCCCTTAGCGCAGTGGGTGCGGGGAATAACTCCTGAACTACCAGGAGGAAAGCCGGCTGGGTTGCCGTGAGGTGGTTACGGCCCAGTCCACCACTCGCAGCAGTGGGCTCGGGGGGGTGTGACTGTTACATTTTAACTATCACATATACAGTAGAAATCAACTCAAAAAAAGGTCCAATGGATGATCAGCATTTTAACTCCTTTTTTGAAATGGTGATTAAGCAATCATCTCCAATTGATAAACTACCAACTTTGATTGTTTCCCTAGAATTCTGCCTAACTTGATTTGTTATAGCACCACCCTTGCTTGAAAATGGGTGGTAGATGCAAGGTAAGGAATATATTCTCAATGATGCACATATTAATAGATTGCCCAAGGGCACAAAAATGTTAAAGGTAGGTGGTAGACGCGGGTATGGGATATCTTAAGTTCTCAAATGGAATTTCTCACTACCAAAAGAGAGTTTAGTAATGTGAATTGGTTGAAAGTCTTTATATGCTTTTGTTGGTCATTATGAACTTCAAGATGTTCAGTAGCTTTGGATGGGGAGAGCATAGACTGTAATGATCTGAATTTTGGATGTATGCATTGCGTAATGAAGGAAGTAAGCCATCTAAAAAAAAAACAAGTAGAAGGTATGCATTCTTGAGCACAAAGAACATGTAAGATGGAGAAAAAAAAAGAAAAGAAAGAAAGATGGATACTGCAACAAAAGGGAAAGGTGAGGTTGGATATTAATCGCTCTTGTAATCAAATGAATGCAAACTATGAAGGAGTGGCAGGGGATAACAAGAGTAATTAGCTCATCGGATATGCTCGAAAACTTGGATTTTACCCCCAACATTGACACCAAATTCTGGGCAATTTTCTTAGGATTACATATGTGCTAGAATGGAGGTTTTAGGAAAGTATTGCTCTGCAATGATTCTTTTAAAGCCTTACACTTGCTAACACATCAGGATAGGGAGGACCATCCATACTACTGGCTTACGCAGGATATAAGGAAGATTTTAGATAAAAAAATACACTAGATCTAAGGTTTATAAAAATAGAGTTCACATATTGTGTTGACTAGCTTGCACAAAAAGCTTATGGCTTGACTTCTTAAATACTATTTTTCTAGACTGTTCCTTACTAAGGATAATTTCAAGAGAGATTTTTTGGGGCTAAATAACCATGACCATATGTAATATGTTTGGTCAGTTTCTTGTCCTTTGAAAGGCAATTAACAAGAAGGTGACCATAAGTTCTCATTCCACGGACAAAAAAAAAAATGGAGACTCTTATATCCTCAAAACTTTTACCTAATTACCTCTTGGAAAATGCCAACAAAGAGTGAGATCAAATGAATTTAACTCATGTCCAGGTAAATTTATCACTTATACATCCCAATGTATTATTATCAACTGAGATGCTTACAAATCATTGTTGTCTTAGCTTACATGTACCTTGGAAATGTATTCTCATCAACAAAAGTTCCCAACTATAACTAATGCAGCTAGGAGAACGCATTCCTCATTGTAAATCGTATTAAGTTCCAACAAAAGCATGCTCTAAACAAGTTTAACACATAGCCGAGCAAATTTATCCTTAATGCTTCCAAGCTAATTTCCAACAAATCAAATCAAATTTTCCTCAAATCAAGTTTAACACAAGCTAAGAGAATCTTTTTCCTCAAATCAAATTCCAACAAATGATAAGCTCAAATCAAGTTCTGCATATATCTAAGTCAAGCCATCCATAGATGATTTCAATGTATTCTAATCAACAATAAATAGCTTCATAATAATCACTACCACAGATAAGACCACACATTCCTCATTGTAAATCATACCAAACTTTTGACAAACAATATGCTAAAAATAGGGATGATTCATACATTTTTTGGCACCTTCAATGCATGCATATCAACCAAGAAGAGATTTCCTAGCATATCAAGAGAATGCTTTTCACATGGTAAACCCCATTACGTTTCAAAATCAATTCCAAGCCAAATCATTTTTATGATAACCATATATTGTTTAGTATGGGAGAACATTCCCTATCAATGAAGAAATGATTTGAGATAACATTCACGCCTCAAAACTACAACAAGTAAAGAATATCACTGAACTAGCCAAAGCCAAAACTCCACCACCACTCAACTATGCATTACATGGGAAACTTACCAAAGAAAGATATATTTAGAAGCTATGTAAGCTAAAAAGCAAAAGTAGAGTACAACTAATATATTTCTATGCATCAAGGAGAGCCCTGTAGGAGTGCATGTCAAATACATCTACAAATGTAAAAGCAAAGACAATTATTTCAAATTGAAATACTTTTCTCTCGTAGCCTTAACATGTTGATTTTACAAATCATAAGGCATTCCTATAAGGGAATTTATGCCAGCTTAGCAATCTCATTCAAGCATCCAAATCAATTTAATTACTCTCAATAGATAATGAATGCGGGCATTCAAATCAAGTGGCAAATGATGCAAGTAAAGGTGTTCATAGGCTCGGTTTGGTTTGGTTTTTGGCCAAAAACCAAACCGAACCGAACCATTTGGTTTACTCATAATTGGGACCTGATTGATTTTTATGGAGTTCGATTTGGTTCAGTTTAATTTTCGGTTTGATTAAAGTCTGGATCGGGTTTCAATGCATTTATTTAATTTTTTTCCTTTTTTCCATCTTCATAATGGTGCTATGTATTAAAATTAAATCTAATTCTTTTTGGCTCCTTTTTTTCATAAATAAAGGTATAAAAATATAATAAAATTTTAATGTGATAATGATAATTAATCATAAAAATTGATATAAGTTTTTAAGATTAAAATTATTTAATATTATGCATTTCCATTCAAGTCCTTTAAAAATGTTTATCTATGTATCCATATTTTAATAAATAATGAAAAACTTATTATATAAAATTCAAAACAAAATGCTTCTTGTAGATAAATTGAATACTGAAAATTTCAAGTTGTAAATAATTAAATGATGGTGATAGCATCATTATTATAATTATTTAATATTATACATTTCCATTCAAGTCCTTTAAAAATGTTTATCTATTACTATAAAAAATTCAAAACAAAATGCTTCTTATAGATAAATGGTTATATATTTTATAAATAAATAATATTTTTTAATCAAGTTTGGCTCGATTTGGTTCGGTTTCTTATACTCAAAACCGAACTTGAACCAAACCAATCAGTTCTCATATCATAAAAACTGAAGCAGGCTTGATTGTTGTTTGGTTTTGATCAGTTTCTTTCGGTTTATTGGATTGGTCCTTTTAGTTTGGATCGGTTTTGAACAATCTTAGATGCAAGAGTCATAAATCTTCACAAGAGTATATTACAAGGGAAATTTACCAAGGGAAAAATCTAGTAGATATGTAAAGGAACAAATGGCAAATGATGTAAGAGTCATAAATCTTCACAAGAGTACATTACAAGGGAAATTTACCACGGGAAAAATCTAGTAGATATGTAAAGGAACAAATAGCAAAGACACATGGAGATTTAAATAAAAAGCCAACATACACTCATGGAAATACGTTGCAACTTAAGATTGGGCATAGAAAATACAACTATAAAAAAACAAATACTAAAGTTCAAATAAAAAAGAAAACACATTTATTTCAAGATTAGGCATTACCAGTATGTCTTTAAGTACCAAAGCCAAGACATCTATTTCAAATCAATATATTATAATTTCTAAAAGGCCATTTATGCTATTCTAATAGATCTCAATCCATGCAGATATGGAACAATTGAAAATTATGGTAGCATACAATATCAAGTTCAAGCTCCAAATAAATCTCAATTTTTGGAACATTCGTATATGGGAATTTAGTTCAAGCAAGAAATGATGCTACAATCAAAAGATATTAAAGTAACAAAACAAATGGTAACTTTGTATTACATGTTCCGAGCTCCAAATCATTCTCTATTATAAAGCATTTGTATATGAGCTTTCATAATAAGCAATGAGTGATGTAGTGGATATGAAGCTTTTCAAAGGTATGAAGAAGAAATTTGCCACAGAAGGAAAAATACTTATAGCATAACATAAATGTGAGGGAGCTACCAACAGCAAAGACATGGTGCATCTAAGCAGAAGAGGAAAAGTAGACCCCCTATGATTCCATTTATGACCATTCAGATAAGGCATCAAATGATACAAATGTCATTAAGCCTTATAGGAGTGCACTACAAATATAAATTCGAGTAGCAAAGAAGCGACATCAATTTTCAATCAAAATATTATCATTTTATAGATAAGCCATATATGATATTTCGAAGGGATCGAAGGCATGCATGTAAGCAAAACTAGGACACCTTTGCATGTCATATTCAAGCCTCCTAATCCACATCACTCTTCCCATGATAAAAAAGGGCAACCAAATAAAGCATCAAATGATGCAACGATCATCAGTCTTTGCAATTGTGCTTACAAGAGAAATTTGTCAAATAAATATGTGAGAGGACTACCATGCAGCAAAGACATGAGAGGACTACCATGCATATTTAGATGAGGCACCAAATCATAAGATTGTCATTAAGCCTCATAGTAGTGCATTAATGGTCTATAGTCAAATGTCAAAGATACATATTAAAATCCAAAGCTGGTCATAAATTTCAAAAAATATATTGTTCTATATCAATCATTTCTATTTTTAAGTATAATTGAAGGTTAAAAATAGGCCTTCAAAAGACACAGAAGAAGCCTCATAGAAGAATATAATTATAAGAGAGAAGGATAAGATAACCTCATAAGGAAATTAATTTAAATAAAAATACTACTCAATTATCCTAAATATAATGATGTAACAAAACACAAGGCAGCTTTGCATTTCATGTTCAAGGCTCCGAATCATTCTCAATTATCCTGCATTATAAAGCATACATGTTAGGGAGCTATGATTAGCAAAGGCACAAAGAGTCTAAGCTGAAAAGGAAAGGTAGATCTCCCACGATTCCATTTATGCACATTAAGATTAAGCAACAAATGATACAAAAGTCATTGAGCCTCATAGGAGTGCATTGCAAATATAAATTTGAATACCGAAGAAGAGGCATCAAGTTTCAATCAAAATATTACCATCTTATAGAAAAACCATATATGATTATTTTAAAGGGTCCAAAGTCATACATCTAAGCAAAACTAGGACACCTTTGCATGTTGTGTCCAAGCCTCTTAATCCACCCTACTCTACCCACAATCAAACAAGGGCAACAAAATATAAATTCGAATACCGAAAAAGGGACATCAATTTTCAATCAAAATATTACCATCTTCTAGATAAGACACATATGATATTTCTTTTCAAGGGTCCAAAGACATGCACGTAAGCAAAACTAGAACACCTTTGCATGTCATATTCAAGCCTCCTAATCCACCTCACTCTTCCCACAATCAAACAAGGGCAACCAAATCAAGAATCAAATGATGCAACTGTCATCAATCTTTGCAAATGTGCTTACAAGAGAAATTTGCCAAATAAATACTTCTTTTGCAAATATGTGCAAGGACTACAATGCAATAGAGACATAAAGAGTCTAAGTTGAAAGCAAAATTTGAACCCTATTAAATATATTTATGCACATTTAGAGGAGCCACCAAATCATATGGTTGTCATTGAGCCTCATAGTAGTGGAGTGATGGTTTGTGATCAAATGTCAAAATAAGGAAATCAATTTTAAATAAAAATAATACAATTTCTCTCGCGATCCAAATATAATGATGTAAGAAAACACAAGGTGGCTTTTCATATCATGTTCAAGGCTCCAAATCATTCTCAATTATCCAGCATTTATAAAATAACGACATTGTGGAAGACAAGCTTTTCAAAGAGACATATTGAAGAAATTTGTCGACAAAGGACAAATATATAGCATATATGTAAGGGAGCTACAAGCAGCAAAGGCACAAAGAGTCTAAGAAGAAGAGAAAAAGTAGACTTCCTATGCTTTCATTTATGCACATTAAGATTAGGCCACAAAAGGTACAAAAGTCATTGAGCCTCATAGCAATGCATTGCAAATATGAATTTGAATACCGAATAAGGAACATCAATTTTCAATCAAGATATTACCATCTTATAGAAAAGCCATATATGATATTTTGAAGGGTCCGAAGACATGCATGCAAGCAAAACTAGGACACCTTTGCATGTCAAAGTCAAGCTCGTAATCCACCCTACTCTAACCACTATCAAATGAGAGCAACTAAATATAAATTCGAATACCAAAGAAGAGACATCAATTTTCAATCAAAATATTACCATCTTATAAATAAGCCACATATGATATTTCAAAGGGTCAGAAGACATGCATGTAAACAAAACTAGGACACCTTATCCATCCTACTCTAGCGACCATCAAATGAGGGCAACTAAATATAAATTCGAATACCAAAGAAGGGACATCAATTTTTGATCAAAATATTACCATCTTATAGATAAGTCACATGATATTTCCAAGGGTCCAAAGACATGCATGTAAGAACAACTAGACACCTTTGCATGTCATATTCGAGCCTCTCAATCCATCCCGCTCATCCCACAATTGAAACATGGGCAACCAAAACAAGCATCAAATGATGCAACAATTATCAATCTTTGCAAGTGTGCTTGCAAGAGAAATTTTCCAAACAAATACATGTTTGGCAAATTTGTGCGAGGACTGCAATGCAGCAGAGACATAAAGAGTCTAAGCTGAAAAGCAAAAGTAAAACCCCATTATATATATTTATGCACATTTAGATGAGGCACCAAATCATATAATTGTCATTGAGTCTCATAGTAGTGCATTGATGATCCATGGTCAAATGTCAATGTAAGGAAATCAGTTTTGAATAAAAATACCATCATTTGCCTAGCAGTCCAAATATAATGATGCAACCAAACACAAGGTAGCTTTGTATTTCATGTTCAAGGCTCCGAATCATTCTCAATTATCCCGCATTTCAATATAGTCGTTCATAATAAGAAACGAATAATGACGTTGTGACCAACAAGCTTTTCAAAGGCACATACTGAAGAAATTTGTCAATAGAGGACATAAATAAAACATACATGTAAGGGAGCTACATCCAGCAAAGGCATATGGAGTCTTAAGCTGCTGAAGAAAAGTAGACCCCTTATGATTCCATTTATGCACATTAAGATTAGGCAACAAATGATACAAAACTCATTGAGCCTCGTAGGAGTGCATTGCAAATATAAATTCAAACTGAAAAGGAACATCAATTTTTAATCAAAATATTACCATCTTATAGAAAAGCCACATATGATATTTTGAAGGGTCTGAAGACATGCATGTAAGCAAAACTAGGACACCTTTGCATGTCAAAGCCAAGCCTCATAATCCACCCTACTCTAACCACTATCGAACGAGGGCAACTAAAAATAAATTCAAATACCGAAGAAGGGACATCAATTTTTGATCAGAATATTACCATCTTATAGATAAGCCATGTGATATTTCAAAGGGTCCAAAGACATGCAGGTAAGCAAAACTAGGACACCTTTGCATGTCATATTCAAGCCTCTCAATCCATCCCGCTCATCCCACAATTGAAACATGGGCAACCAAAACAAGCATCAAATGATGCAACAATTATCAATCTTTGCAAGTGTGCTTGCAAGAGAAATTTTCCAAACAAATACATGTTTGGCAAATTTGTGCGAGGACTGCAATGCAGCAGAGACATAGAGTCTAAGCTGAAAAGCAAACATAAAACCCCATTATATATATTTATGCACATTTAGATGAGGCACCAAATCATATAATTGTCATTGAGCCTCATAGTAGTGCATTGATGATCCATGGTCAAATGTCAATGTAAGGAAATCAGTTTTGAATAAAAATACCATCATTTGCCTAGCAGTCCAAATATAATGATGCAACCAAACACAAGGCAGCTTTGTATTTCATGTTCAAGGCTCCGAATCATTCTCAATTATCCCGCATTTCAATATGGTCATTCATAATAAGAAACGAATAATGACGTTGTGGCCAACAAGCTTTTCAAAGGCACAAGATATTTCAAAGGGTCCAAAGACATGCAAGTAAGCAAAATTAAGACACCTTTGCATGTCATATTCAAACCTCTCAATCCACCCCACTCATCCACAATTGAACGTGGAAAATCAAATCAAACATCAAATGATGCAACGATTATCAATCTTTTGCAAGTGTGCTTACAAGAGAAATTTGCCAAACAAATACATGTTTGGCAAATATGTGCGAGGACTACAATGCAGTAGAGAGATAAAGAGTCTAAGCTGAAAAGCAAAAGTAAAACCTATTAAATATATTTATGCACATTCAGATGAGGCACCAAATCATATAATTGTCATTGAGCCTCATAGTAGTGCATTGATGATCTGTGGTCAAATGTCAATGTAAGGAAATCAGTTTTGAATAAAAATACCATCATTTGCCTAGCAGTCCAAATATAATGTTGCAACAAAACACAAGGCAGCTTTGTATTTCATGTTCAAGGCTCCAAATCATTCTCAATTATCCCGCATTTCTATATGGTCGGTCCTTCATAATAAGAAACGAATAATGATGTTGTGCACAACAAGCTTTTCAAAGGCACAAGATATTTTGAAGGGTCCGAAGACATGCAGGTAAGCAAAATTAGGACACCTTTGCATGTCATATTTGAGCCTCTAATCCAACCCATTCATCCACAATTGAACATGGGAAATCAAATCAAGCATCAAATGATGCAATGATTATCAATCTTTACAAGTGTGTTTACAAGAGAAATTTTCCAAATAAATACATGTTTGGCAAATATGTGTGAGGACTGCAATGCAGCAGCGACATAAAGAGTCTAAGCTGAAAAGCAAAAGTAAAACCCCATTACATATATTTATGTGCATTTAGATAAGGCACCAAATCATATAATTGTCATTGAGCCTCATAGTAGTGCGTTGATGATCTGTGGTCAAATGTCGATGTAAGGAAATCAATTTTGAATAAAAATACCATCATTTGCCTAGCAGTCCAAATATAATGATGTAACAAAACACAAGGCAGCATCATATTTTATGTTCAAGGCTCCGAATCATTCTCAATTATCCCGCATTTCTATATGGTCGGTCCTTCATAATAAGAAATGAATAATGATGCTGTGGACAACAAGTTTTTCAAAGGCACAAGATATTTTGAAGGGTCCAAAGACATGCAAGTAAGCAAAATTAGGACACCTTTGCATGTCATATTCAAGCCTCTCAATTCATCCCGCTCATCCCACAATTGAAACATGGGCAACCAAAACAAGCATCAAATGATGCAACAATTATCAATCTTTACAAGTGTGCTTGCAAGAGAAATTTTCCAAACAAATACATGCTTGGCAAATTTGTGCGAGGACAGCAATGCAGCAGAGACATAAAGAGTCTAAGCTGAAAAGCAAAAGTAAAACCCCATTAGATATATTTATGCACATTTAGATGAGGCACTAAATCATATAATTGTCATTGAGCCTCATAGTAGTGCATTGATGATCCATGGTCAAATGTCAATGTAAGGAAATTAGTTTTGAATAAAAATACCATCATTTGCCTAGCAGTCCAAATATAATAATGCAACAAAACACAAGGCAGCTTTGTATTTCATGTTCAAGGCTCCGAATCATTCTCAATTATCTCGCATTTCTATATGGTCATTCATAATAAGAAAAAAACAATGACGTTGTGGCCAACAAGCTTTTCAAAGGCACATAGTGAAGAAATTTGTCAATAGAGGACATAAATATAACATACATGTAAGGGAGCTACATCCAGCAAAGGCACATGGAGTCTTAAGCTGCTGAAGAAAAGTAGCCCCCTTATGATTCCATTTATGCACATTAAGATTAGGCAACAAATGATACGAAACTCATTGAGCCTCGTAGGAGTGCATTGCAAATATAAATTCGAATACCAAAGAAGGGACATCAATTTTCAATCAAAATATTAGCATCCTATAGAAAAGCCACATATCATATTTTGAAGGGTCCAAAGACATGCATGTAAGCAGAACTAGGACACCTTTGCATGTCATATTCAAGCCTTGTAATCCACCCTGCTCATCCCACTGTCGAACATGGACAACGAAATCAAGCATCAAATGATGCAACAATTATCAACTTTACAAGTGTGCTTACAAGAAAAATTTATCAAATAAATACTTGTTTAGCAAATATATGTGGGGACAATGCAGCAAAGACATAATGAGTCTAAGCTAAAACACAAAAGTAGAACCCTATTAAATATATTTATGCACATTTAAATGAGGCACCAAATCATATAATTGTCATTTAGCCTCATACAAGTGCATTGATGGTCTGCGGTCAAATTTCAAAGGAAATCAATTGTAAACCAAAATACTACCATTTGTCTAGCACTCCAATATACTGATGTAACAAAACACAAGGCAATTTTATATTTCACGTCACTTTGCCTTGTAGGAGGAGTGCATTATAGATACAAGTTCCAATGCCAAAGCAAGGACATCTATTTCAAATCAAAATAATGCATTTCTCTGGAAAGCACATATGTTGTTCTGACCAAACCAAAAGCACTCATGAAAGAGAAATTGAGGCAGCTTAGCTTGTAAAGTTCAAATTAATTTCCAAATTCAAACATTTGCTAACACAAATTTCCCAAACACCTCTTAATGGAATATAAACAGAAAAAGAAAGCACAATTTTTATTCATTTGGCAACTGAGATACACAACAGATTGTAGCTTGTTTATAACCCTGCATATAGTATCTTTTGAAAATGCATAATGATGTGCTTTACAGCAACAAAAAATAAAAATAAATAAATAAACAAATTACCAAGAGCTTTGCAAGATTTTGCTGCAGCTGATTGCCTTTCAGGGTTAAAGCCCTTCTCTTGAAATTTATGGGTGATATTGGCAACCCAAACACGTTAAGGCTGCAAAGCAAACCCCAACATCTATTTTTGCAGCTTGCATTAGGCGACTGATACTGCGCCTCAGGATCTGTGCATCGTTGAATCAAAATATTATGAGAAGATCTATATAAAGCCTCAGAAACAATCAACGCCAAACAGCAAGATAAAAACAAAAGGATGAAATGAGAATAAAATAAAATTAAAGTCAAAATAAATAAAAAGAGAAACAGATTTTTCTGCAGGAAATGCTAATTGAAAAGGTAAGGAAAAAAATACAACAACCGTTGAGCAGACTGTACCAGAAATTTCTCTTTCTTTTTAATGTTTCCGACGCACCAGGATCAGAGGCAAGTAAAATGCTCTACGCTAGTAGACTGGACTGGCCACTAATGCCGAATCTAAAATGATTTCCAAATCTGATTCAAGCCTTCAAGCGGTGCTTTTCTCATCCTGTTAGTCGACCATAGCTAGCACTGCCATGACACAGAGCACTGCGCTTGCACTAACGTGACTTGCAAACAACGCTGACGCTATATAGTCATATACGCAACGCTCGGGACCACCTCCCTTCGCTTCAGGAACAAAGACCAGAGAACAGAACTAGACAAGAAAAGCAAGAATCCATATATATATATATATACAACCATTCCGGTGGTGCACTGAAACAGAGCTTGGGCTTTCCGCCACAGGCCATGACACCCAAACCAACTGAGGGAAGTTGAATAAGCCGGATCGCAAGACATTGGTTTGCCCTTTTTTCTTTGGTGGTTCAACGGACGGTCGCCGAGAGATTTATTCCGTGAAGGCTGCAGAGATCGATCCATCTACCTGCTTGGCGCGAAAGGGAGAAAAGAGGGAAACTATTTTTTTTTTTAGCCGTTTGATCATTATATCGTGCCAGTCAAGCAACCCCACAATTTTACCCGCACCCGCAAAGGTCGGTGCTTGGAAATGACCGTTGGGATTAGGGTTTAAGAATTAGATGAGGGGGGCTCAGCTGCGCAGGTGCAATTGCTGGCTTCCGTTTTAAAGATGATTAAATAAAACTGGAAAAATTAAACTTTTAATTAATTATATTTTATAATAATTAGTATTATCTTTTAAAAAGTATCGTATTTATTCATTTAAAAAAATTAATATTCATCGTAATTGGTATCTTTTGAAAATCGATGTTTTCATATTTTAGCTCACCTTATTGTTAGAAATAAGATTAACTCTAAATAAAAAATTACTGTTATAAATTAACGATTAGCATTAAATAAATGCAACATCAGGATCAGGAATATATTAAAATTTAAATCACTAATTTAGAATATGAACCATTTTTTGACAATAATAGTTAATTGAAAGTGAATAATTAAATTAAAAAAATAAATATATACATTAAAGATTTCCAAATTGCTACTCCTTCATCATCGTTCATTCGTTCCTTATGTGCAAGGCAGGCTTATTGCAATATTCCCCACCTGGGAGACGAAATTTAGTGAGGCAGATCTAAAATGGCTACCGTGGGCCACCAACTTCTAGCCCATTTCCTTGCTTGGGTCTCTTCTTTTACAGCCCAAACATGAATGAAGCACTATTTTAGTTTTTCCTTCATAGTATTAAATATAGATATAGATATAGATATAGATATAGATATAGATTTTTTTGAGTCAGAAATCTAGAGATTGAGAGTATTATTAGTACCTCATTCAGGACAAAAAAATAAAGATAGTATTAGTACCTCATATAATATAAATATAATAAAATAGCTAAAATTTTAAATGTTAAAATTAATTAAAAGGATGCTATGCCCTTGCTGAAAAATTAGTAAAAATTAAAAAAAAAAAAAAACTCCCAACCGATCCAAAGCGGGAAAAGAAATCCGCGGTTTGTTTTTCAAGGAAAAAATAGTTCCCTCACATCGTTACACTCACACACACAGGCTCACAGCAAAGTAGTTCAATCCATTTAGCAAATCAGTTTTTTATCAACACAATAATAATAATGATAATAATAAAGGAACGGCAAAACAGTCAAGAACAAATATAATAAGGTTGGCACAGTATAAACAGTTTACGAGAGAGGTAAACAATATCAAAGAATCAGTAAGATCGAGAATATCATATCAAACTAAGATGTCAAGAAGATGGGTAGTAAACCAAAATGATTCCGTTGATTTGATCGTGAAGAGAAGTGTCAGAAACATCTCTAAAATAGATCTCAGACAACTTCGAGCATAGAAAAAACTGGCGCAGATACCAAACGCGAAAAACTTTTACCGTTGATTTTGGAGATTCAATCCCGTCAACTTTAATACCGTCGTCCACCGTGCTCAGTCGAGTCACCCACCGTTGTTTTCCCGTCGTTGTTTGTTTCGCGCATCTCCTTCGTAGAACGCTCCACCAGCTCCACAGAGCTCCCAATGCGGCGGCTAGGGTTTAGACTTCAATAGTTCAGATGAAAAATGGAAGAGGGCCCAAAGTTGTCCTGAAATTTCCTTGGGCCTAAGAATTGAAGTTGTTAGAGGCCCTTTTCATGGATTTGCACTCAAAAGATTAGAAATGATTTGTGGTTTGCGCCTCCATTTCCATTTTCCACCGCCTTATCCTCAACTCCATCGCGCTTAATAGACCTGTACAAAAACAAATAAATAAATAAACAAATACTAATTGGATTTATCAAATTAAAATACCTACGGTAATCCTCTGCATACACGGATATTAAATGATGAAAAATAATAAAATGCAACTTGATAATAAGTAGTTAAATAATTTCTTTTTGGCCAAATAGTTAAATAATGTTAATGGAGTTTCTTAAGTCACATAAACTTCCATGCACTCAAAAAAAAAAATGTTAATTGATCTTATTTAGGTTTATCGTAAATGTCTGAAAACATCTTTCAAACATATTGTTGGTCAAACAAATGTTTACCAAAAAGCACATTTTTTTCCATCGTATATTATAAAAATGATACGATTTTGAGAGTATTATATAAATATGTAAAATTTATAATTTAAACTTTCTAACCACGATTTTTGCCAAGCAGAATTATACATTTATATGATATCTGATATGCTTATGTAAACAAGTCAATGGTTAGGCTTGGGACTTATTTGATATACAGGAATTGCAAATAAGGAATGGATTCCTAAGAATCCCTATTCTAGTAAAATTCCCAAAATTTGATTTCTCTCTCACTCCTCCTGTCTTACCTTCTTCAACCAAGTCGCCATTGAGCTTCAGCCTTCAGTGTATAGCCACCATCAACCTTCAACCTTTAGATTTCATCTAGACTTTTAAGGAGACATCAACCGTGCTACAGCGACACACAAGGCTTTTTCAGGTTTGATCTCCATCCTTCACGCTCACTGCACCAAATGTTGTGGCGCAAGTTTAAAGTCTCACAAGCCTAACTTATTGAATTGGATAGTCCCTCGCACTATAAACTCTAGTTCACTTATGAGATTCTTTGACATGAGACTATGACAACTTCTAGTTCTTCATCTTGCCATGGCATCTAATTTAACCAGATATGGCTTATTCTCTATTATTTTTTACTTGTTTTTGAGAACTGGGCTCCTTCTGGTTTGTAAAATTGGTTGTCTGGACAGGGTAAGCTAATTGGAAGACTAAAGCATACCGGTGGCGGCGGCTTGATGCCTTGATGGTTGCAAATGGAAAGCTTTTGATTCGGGCTTCTCTTTTTTCTAATTTAACAAGGACGTTTTGGTCTTTTTATATTACAAGTATATATGCAGAATTAAAGATTATGCAAGGATTCCGTGATATATCAATAATAAATATATTAAATATTTTTGTAAACGTTGTTTGAGTTTAAAAAAAATGTCCTAATCTTAACAAGTTTTCAAAAACCAATTTACCTGAAGTTTTTTTATTAAAAAAAAAAATCAAACATGGAAACAAAGGAAAGGAAAACCAGCAAGGGTCATACGTCCCCAAATAGAACCGAAAATAAGAGCTAAGTCTGGAGGGTTGGGTTTGAAGGCCTTATTTAAATAAAGGTTTGGGTTTTAAAAATAATTTTTTTAAGTAATCAGGCTTGAGAGCTTGACCTTAATAAACCCTGTAAGAAAGAGCTCGAGTCCGAACGGCCCTTCAAATCTTGTTATGTTGTTGTTGTTGTTGTTTTTTTTTTTTTGATAAAATATGTGTTTAAAATCAATGACCTGCTCACCTGATCTTACACACATCATATTATTATTAATTTTAATTTATTTTAAAATTAATTTAATATAATTTAATAAATATCAATGTATAGAATAAAAATTTTGATATTTTTTATTTTTTTATAATTATTATATTTATGTATTTATAAAAAAATGAACTATTTTTAACTAAGATTTAAATTTTATTACTAGACTTTTAAATGCGTGTAGTTTAATTTCTAAAAAATTATAAAAATTTTATTTTTTTAATTTTAAAATATTTTAATCAATTTATAATGTTTAATTTTATTTTATTTTTTTATTTTTTAAAAAAAGACTTTCAAGCCTGACCATGAGCCCTTCACACGAGGGTCAAACTTAAAAAATAAGATTAAAAATAAAAAATTAAGATTTAAAGGTCAAGCCTATGAAAGTCAGGCTTGCCCGTATTTCCAACTCTACCTTCAAGTCAAGTTTTTAAATTTTTCTAAACATTATATGCATATCTCATATTTCCAACTCCAAAATTTATGAAAGTTCTGTATTATATACATTTTTTTTAATCTTGTCTCCCTTATTGTTAAACCAAGTTCCGTGATTAAACATATGTTAATTTTAAACCACAAATTTATTCCAGTTCTATGAAAGAAAATGTTCCTTCATACCAAAATAAAACATTGCTGCAAGTTAGTGGTGAGAGACAAAATTGAGTTGACAAGTCTCTTTCATGATTGATTGAGACAACGCGACACGGAGTGGGGCCTTGAGAAGTGGGTAAAAATAATGGAGAGGCATTTGCTTTTGGGTTGAGAGTAGGCACTATCAGGAAATGATGTGGGTGTGCCCACTCTTTGAGCCAATCACTAGCCCGAGTGGATCCAAAGGCCAATTCGGATAGTATGTCTATTTGATACCCGCAACGCACCTGAATCAAATCGTCCCCACATATCGCCGTCCCCACAAAACGCCTCGTTCCGATTCATCAATCTTCTTTACCATTCTTTTTTTTTTTTTCCGGTAGTTTATCTTTTATCTTTTTTTTAAAAAAAAAAGGATCCCTAATTTATTCATTTATCATAAAAAATTATCCCTAACGCGTGCCGTGTACACCAGAGAGACATATTCATAACGTCGGTGTCTGTTGTTGTGAAGTGTTTACGTCCTGGACTTTCAAATGCACTCCCTCCATCCTTTTATATATATAATATTTTTAATTAAATTTTATATATTAATAAAAATTTATTATTTAATTAAATTCACATAAAAATATAATAATTTTTCAGTTTTACCTTTTCATAATATCATAATAGTGATAGAAAAAAGATAAAATTATTTATTTATTTTATATTTCAAGATGAGAGTAAAAATGTTTAATAACTCCAAAATATTATTGCCACCTCTTCTATTTAATAAGGGAAAAAACTTTTAGAAAATAATCTATATATAAAAATAGAGGGAGTATCTATCAAGAGAGGTTTCATTGACTAACAAAGAGAAATCCTAATATTAATTGACTTCTCTAAACACACATGATTCAGGGCCGTGGTCTTATACCATGCGAGAAGATTTTTTTTTTTTTTTATCTTTTTGATATCACTAGTAAATGGGTGGTCATTATGGGCATACTCATTTCAAATGAGGTTGTTAGGTTGATAGCTTTCATTAAGCCCCAAAAAAAAAATATTGACTCTGGTCAACTTCTCACCCAACAGAGATTAAAGCTTTTATCAAAGACTGATAAAAATTTAACTGTCAGGTTAAAAGGTTGACATACAATGAATTTTCGTAATAAAGACTTTAATCCAAATGTTATTATTGTCTCCAACAAGACCTCCACAGAACGCTGCTCAATTCTAATCCACTGAACACTCCATGTGTCCAAGCATATTTGGATGGGTTCCATTTGAAATATGTATATATGTTAAGCCTTTCTTTCACCTCAAGGTGATCGTCAACTGATATATGGCCTCTCGGAGCAACATTTTGAAGTCGACAGAATAAAAAGCGCCTTGTCAATTCAGTGGATAGATAAGCTTTACATATATTTAATACTTATGGGCGAACGTACCACTGCAACGGAATCAGGGCTTCATCCATTCCCAATGTGACTAAAATATTGAATCAATTGTTATGTTTGTTCTCTTGGCTTCCTGCAATATGTCGTCCACGTCCTTTTTAAATCTTGCTTCCATTACCAAAAAAGTTGTGATTATGACTTTGGACAAAACCTTATCCACGTCTTTTTTAAAAAGTTTACTTTGATTTGTTTTTTCTTATTATAACTCACCACTTGCAACAAATTAAATCTTGCAGTATATTTGTTAACCATGCTTCTATCTCTTAGTTATAAAATTGATTGTAATTATTTTAATTTTTAGTTCAAGGTTATAACAATGAAAAAATCAAAAGAAAAATTATATGAAACTTGCAGTAGACCAGGAAATAATTAAGTTAAATGCCTATCCATCGGTGTATTAAAAATTTGAACATTCAATGATAAAATTCATAGTGCATACACACGCACGCGCGCTCTTGATGTGTGTGTACATGTACATGCGCGCGCGCGTATCACATGCCTGACTAACTTATGTTTCTTAAAAAATGAGAGTTAAATCCTTAAAATAATAATAATAACGGTTAGGCCTAGATAATTTTCTTAAAAAAATAATTGACAAATATCAATTCAAATAATTATAAATTTAATATTTTCAACTGTAAAAATATTTAAATTATAAATCTAATTTTAAATTTATAATTGAGATCCCTGTTTATAACCATTTAAATCTATTTTAAAAATAATTAGCTACCATTAATTTTTTGTAAGAGTCATTCATCCTATATTTTAGGTGGCAAGTATTTATAATTAATTATAAGAAAAATGACAAATGGGTTTTAAGCAGATTAAGAATTTGGTTTCTATTCTCATTTTTTATTTTTTAAAAATTATTTTGCAATATAGTTTTTAAAATTATTTTTCAAAACAAAACAAAAGAAAAATCTGTTTGGTTGTATTAATTTAAAAACAATTTTATAATTTAAAAATCGATCAATAGTAATGGTCATCAGTGGTTAATGGCAATGACTTATGATAATTATTGTTTAAGGTAAATATAATTTTTAATAATTAAATGTAAATATATTTTGAAAACAAAAAAAATAAAATGAAAACAAACTTAACATATTTTTATTTTTTATTTTTGAAAAACAAAAAATTAAAATAGTTTTGGAAATAACTAAATTCAAAAACACTTCCCCAAACAAGTTTTTTAATTTTTTTCGTTTTTGAAAACAAAAAAATATTTTTAAAAATAGAAACCAAACAAGCTTTAATTAATTCAAATTAAATCCTAATCAATTTTAAAATGTCAAACTTTAAGAATTTATAACTTTGATTCTCAATTTTGTACCTCATTGTGATGAATTTATAATTTATATTCTAAATTTTAACCAAAAATAAATTTATTTATTTTTAAATTATGTTAAAATTTAAAAAAAGTTAAAATTTATTATAATAAAATTATAAAATTAAAAGATGAACTTGTAAATTTTTAAAATTTAACACTTTAAAATTGATCGAGATTTAATTTAAATTAATTAGTTATATCCCACGCTAAACAACTGATGAGCCCAAGTTGAGAGTGGCCCAACCATTCTACAAATAGCAAAAATGGACAAGAGTTTTAGACGGTGAGTCAGAGTCACTGTATCGAAGGAATAATCAGAACAAGTACTTAACAAGACGGTTTCCTCTCGAACAAGGAGGCTGTAGTTAGGCAGTCAGCAATAAACAAACTAGAAGATTACTATGTAGCCCCTTGTTGGGCTAATCTGGCTCATAATTTGTGCTGATGATTTTCGTATTTTTTCATCAGCCGTTATTTTATTGGAAAGAAGCCATGGATGACGACAGTAATTCTACTTTTCTGCAAACCCTTGTCCTGTCTGATTAGTAGTCATCCAAATTTTTGGGGAAAAAATAAAAGAGGACCCGTCGCTGCATCTAAATGTCACTATTGAATGACTTTTGGTTGTTGTGCATAGATCGGTGGATTGCTAAGAGGTGTGACTGGCCACGCTAAAATCCCGAAAGGAATCCTTTTTTTTTTTTTTTTTGCCTTGTTGGACTTGAAC